AAAAGGGGCGCCAGACTGGATGGGTATGGCGGCCTTTCGGCCCTCCTCCGTGCTCGGTGCTTCTCCCTTCCTCTTTTCTTTTTCTTCCTCATCCTCCTCCTTCTCTTACACCTCTTCAGTATCCTCAACACCCTCCTGTTTGCACAGGCTCTCAATAGGAAGCCATGTGTATTGCGTTTCGATCGTATTATTTTTGTATTAGCTTTCAATGGGAGTCCTTTTTGTAGAGGCTCTCACTACTTCGGGGGTGCTAAAGTTTTTGACCATAAGATGAGAATTGCCTCGCTGGTCACGCGTGCCGCGGAGGACCGATCAGGATGCAAAGGTGCCTTGATGCGGATTCGCGAGCCTTTGTGGGCCCTCTGGGACGGCCAACCAGTGAACCGAGAGCGACCGCATTGGAGAAGGATTGCCCAGGGTCTCACAGCATCAATGCAACAAGGAATACAATGAAACATCGCGTTGGCATGATAAGGACAGGGTCGATGGATGATGACACGGACGATCAAACGTGACCCAAGCGGAGTGGTTTACTGTGAATGGGTTCAAGTCGGAGTGTTTTCCGGCCCTATTGTAAATGGGACGGAGTAATTATCACCCTGTTAAAAATATATATTATTATATTCTTACAGGGTGAGAGCCCATCGGAGTCGAACCGCCGCCCGACCCAAAACATTTCGCTAAGATTCTACGGGGGGGCAGGGGGCGTCGACAGCATGACGTCTTATGGTCAAAACTATAGTACCCCCCGTGTAGGAATCCTTATGTAGAGGCTTTCAATAGGAATCGTTGCGAAGAGGCTCTCAATAGGAATCCTTTTGTAGAGGCTCTCAATGAGAATCCTCTTGTGGAGGCTCTCAATAGGAATCATTTTGCACCGGCTCTCAATAGTAATGCAGTAGTATTGTGTTTCAGTCGGGATAATGTTTGCATTGGCTCTCACTACGAATTCTTTTTTTGTAGAGGCTCTCAATAGGAATCCTTTTGTAGAGGCTCTCAATAGGAATCGTTTTGTAGAGGCTCTCACCAGGAATCCTTTTGTAGAGGCTCTCATTAGGATTCCTTTCGTGGAGGCTCTCAGTAGGAATCCTTCTGTAGAGGTTCTAAATGAGAATTTGTTCGTCGAGGCTGTCAACATGAATTGTTTTGCACAGGCTTTCAATAGGAAACCATTCGTATTGCGTTTCAGTAATAATCCTTTTGTATGGTTTTCAATAGGAATCCTTTTTGTAAGAGGCTATCGTTCGAAATCCTTGTGTAGAGGCTTTCAACTGGAATCATGTTGTAGAGACTCTCAATGGGAATCTTGTCGTGGAGGGTCTGAACAGAAATACTTTTGCACAGGCTTTCAACGGGAAACCATGCGTATTGACTTCCAGTAGTATTCATTTTGTATTGGTTTTCAATAAGGTTCCTTTTTTGTAGAGGCTCACAATAGGAATCATTATGTAAAGGCTTTCAAAAGGAACCTTTTTTTGTCGTAGAGGCTCTGAATAAGAATCCTTTTTTGTAGAGGCTCTCAATGGGATTTTTGTATGGAGGCTCTCAACAGGAATCCTTTGTACAGGCTCTCAATAGGAATACATGTGTATTGGGTTTCAATGGGGATCCTTCTGTAAAGGCTTTCAATCGGATCCTTTCGTCGAGGCTCCCAACAGGAAGCCTTTTGCACAGGCTCCCAAGAGAAATCCATTTGTATTGGGTTTCAATGAAGCATCCTTTTGTGGAGGCTTTCAACAGGAATTCTTTTTATAGAGGCTCTCAATAGGAATGAGGTTGTAGAGGCTCTCAATAGGAAGCCATGTGTACTGCGTTACAATACTAATCATTGTGTATTGGCTTTCAATAGGAATCCTTTTTGTAGAGGCTCTCAATCGGAATCCTTGTGTAAAGGCTTGCAATAGGAATCTTGTTGTAAAGGCTTTCGATCGGAATCCTTTGTGTAGAGGCTCTGAATATGAATCATTTTGTCGAGGCTCTCAGCAGAAATCCTTTTGCACAGGCTTTCAATATGAATCCATATGCATTGGGTTTCAATAGGAGTAGTTTTGTCTTGGCTTTGAATCGGCATCCTTGTTTGTTGAGGCTCTCAGTAGGAATCGTGATGTAGAGGCTTTCAATCGGAATCGTGTTGTAGAGGCTCTCAATAGGAATCCTTTTCTGGAGGCTCTCAATAGGAATCCTTTTGCAGAGGCTCTCACTAGGAATCCTTGTGTAGAGGCTCTCAATAGGAATCCTTGTGTGGAGGCTCTCACTAGGAATCCTTGTGTAGAGGCTCTCAATCGTAATCCTTGCGCAGAGGCTCTCAATAGGAATCATGCTGTAGAGGCCAGCGCGACATGAAAAAAACAAAAACAAACACAAGGAAATACAAACCAAACCAACGACGGGAGGAGGGAGGAGGAGGGGGAGGAGGGGGAGGAGGAGGGGGAAGGGGGGAGGAGGAGGGGGGAGGAGGGGAAGGGGGGAGGAGGAGGGGGGAGGAGGGGAAGGGGGGGAGGCGGAGTGGGGAGGAGGAGTCAGCGCAAACCCTTGGAACAAAAAAACAAAAAAAAATCCTGAGGAGACCTCCCCCCCCTCGCCCCCGAATCTCGCCTCAGGATTGTTTTTTTCCCAACCATCCTGTGGTGTTGGGTCCTCGTTTTGAAGAGACAGCGCCCCGCGTCCACTCCTCCTCCCGCTGCCCCCTTCCTCCTCTTCATCCCTGCGTTTCACCCACCGCTTCGTGGCCCCATAGGGAGCTCCACCGGAGGCCCCACTGGCAGGGTTCGCATGGCGGCCTCGGGCCATTTCGGCACACCCCTCACGAGGATCGTGGCCCCATAGGGAGCTCCACCGAAGGCGCCAGTGGCAGGGTTCGCATGGCGGCCTCGGGCCATTTCGGCACACCCCTCACGAGGATCGTGGCCCCATAGGGAGCTCCACCGAAGGCCCAGTGGCAGGGTTCGCATGGCGGCCTCGGGCCATTTCGGCACACCCCTCACGAGGATCGTGGCCCCATAGGGAGCTCCACCGAAGGCGCCAGTGGCAGGGTTCGCATGGCGGCCTCGGGCCATTTCGGCACACCCCTCACGAGGATCGTGGCCCCATAGGGAGCTCCACCGAAGGCGCCAGTGGCAGGGTTCGCATGGCGGCCTCGGGCCATTTCGGCACACCCCTCACGAGGATCGTGGCCCCATAGGGAGCTCCACCGAAGGCGCCAGTGGCAGGGTTCGCATGGCGGCCTCGGGCCATTTCGGCACACCCCTCACGAGGATCGTGGCCCCATAGGGAGCTCCACTGAAGGCGCCAGTGGCAGGGTTCGCATGGCGGCCTCGGGCCATTTCGGCACACCCCTCACGAGGATCGTGGCCCCATAGGGAGCTCCACCGAAGGCCCAGTGGCAGGGTTCGCATGGCGGCCTCGGGCCATTTCGGCACACCCCTCACGAGGATCGTGGCCCCATAGGGAGCTCCACCGAAGGCGCCAGTGGCAGGGTTCGCATGGCGGCCTCGGGCCATTTCGGCACACCCCTCACGAGGATCGTGGCCCCATAGGGAGCTCCACCGAAGGCGCCCAGTGGCAGGGTTCGCATGGCGGCCTCGGGCCATTTCGGCACACCCCTCACGAGGATCGTGGCCCCATAGGGAGCTCCACCGAAGGCGCCAGTGGCAGGGTTCGCATGGCGGCCTCGGGCCATTTCGGCACACCCCTCACGAGGATCGTGGCCCCATAGGGAGCTCCACCGAAGGCCCCCAGTGGCAGGGTTCGCATGGCGGCCTCGGGCCATTTCGGCACACCCCTCACGAGGATCGTGGCCCCATAGGGAGCTCCACCGAAGGCGCCAGTGGCAGGGTTCGCATGGCGGCCTCGGGCCATTTCGGCACACCCCTCACGAGGATCGTGGCCCCATAGGGAGCTCCACCGAAGGCGCCAGTGGCAGGGTTCGCATGGCGGCCTCGGGCCATTTCGGCACACCCCTCACGAGGATCGTGGCCCTATGGGGAGCTCCACCGAAGGCCCCAGTGGCAGGGTTCGCATGGCGGCCTCGGGCCATTTCGGCTCACGAGGACCGTGGCCCCACTGGAGCTCCACCGAAGGCGCCAGTGGCAGGGTTCGCATGGCGGCCCCGGGCCATAGCGGCACATCCCTCACGAGGATCGTGGCCCCATAGTTGCGCTGCTTCAACAACCGCGCATGGGCGTCGTACTCCGCCTTGTCGACGTGCAACGCCACCTCCTCCCTCATGGCTCTCAAGGCCTTCTCCTGCTTCTGCTCCTCGGTGAGAGGGACGCCGTCCTTGTCGTCGTCGGCGCCCGCGAAGACGGCCACGAACGTGTCCCTGAGCATGTCGGGCTCCGGCGGGAAGCCGTGGCCACATAGGTAGCGCAGGCGAAGATGGCATTCACAATTGCGGCATTCACAACTGCATATGGTTGGGTCCTTCGCCAGGATAATTGTTTTGCTTTGCGTGTTTTTCTTAGTTATTCTAAGGATTTTGCTTGGTTCTGTTCCGTAAAGGGGATTCTGATTGGGAGGGGCAGGAGGAGGAGGAGGAGGAGGAGGAGGAGGAGGAGGAGGAGGAGGAAGACAGAGAGAGAGAGAGAGGGAGAGAGAGAGAGAGAGAAGAGAGAGAGAGAGAGAGACAGAGACAGAGACAGAGACAGAGAGAGAGAGGGATAACGGAGGAGCGAAACGGAGTCGGAATGAGAGCGGTTCCTTTTCGTTCGAAGGCTTTGAAGGCCGAAAGGCCGCCATACCCATCCAGTCTGGAGCCGAAAGAGGAGGGATAAGAGGAGGAGGAGGAGCAGCAGCAGCAGCAGGAGGAAGAGGAAGAGAAGCAGGAGCAGGAGCAGGAGGAGGAGGAAGAAGAAGAGGAAGAGAAGAAGAAGAGGAGCAGGAGGAGCAGGAGGAGGAGAAGAAGAAGAGGAGGAGAGAAGAGGAGGCGGAGGCGGAGGAGGAGGAGGAGGAGGAGGAGGAGGAGGAGACTCCACACACCCCCGCCCCCACGCGGCGGCGAGGAGAGGCGGGCCGCGCCGCAGTCGCCGCCAGCGGCCCCGCCCCGCGGCGATGCGTCGCGCGCCGCGCGTGCCTCACCGCGCGCAGGCGCCCGCCCTCCCCGCGGGGCCCTCCTGCTCGGTCCTCCCGCCTCCTCTTCCTCCTCCTCCTTCCTCCTCCTCCTCCCTCCTCCTCCTCCTCCTCCTCCTCATCCTCCTCCCCCTCCGACTCCTCCTCCCTCCTCCCTCCTCCTCCTCCTCCTCCTCCTCCTCCTCCTCCTCCTCCTCCTCCTCCTCCGCCTCCTCCTCCTCCCCCCTTCTCCCCCTCCCCTCCTCCCCTCCTCCTCCTCCTCCTCCTCCTCCTCCTCCTCCTCCTCCTCCTCCTCCTCGACGCAGTCTTGCGGAATGGTTGTCCAGACCGCCTCGAAAGGACGGGGGGGCCAAACGCCTCCCCCCGCGACCCCCTAGAGCTAGGAGCCGCACCGCCGGCGGGGCCCGAGGCAAGAAAGAGGAAAGAGCAAAGAGAGCAAGAGAAGAAAAGCGCCGGCCTCACCACGTGCTGCTCCATGAGCAGCACTGACCACCGAAAGTGGCCAGCCCCCATGCCTACCTGGCTCTTCCTGCACCAGGTGACACTGGGCACCCCCAACGGGCCACCGAGCGGGGCACTCGGTGCGGGAAGGTGATGGGTGCCCAGGCCCACCCCCGCAGACCCCCTTGCCCAAGGGGGGTCAGGTGGGACCACGTCTTGAGCCGTGCCCGTAGGCCGACCCCCCCAGCCACACCCTTGCCCCGCGACGTGACGGGAGGGCCAATACAGTGGCTGGAGCCTGCCCCCGCAGGAGCAGGTACCCGCAGGACGACGCGGACCGAGATCCACGCCGTCCCAGGGGGGGTACCCTCGCGGCCCCAGAACGCCAGGTCCCTGAGGGACCTGAGACGGCACACCCGAACCACAGCGGGACCCCGCTCGAGTTCGGGGGGGCCGCCCCAGGCCCGTCAAGGCACCGACGCTCCTGGCCCGCCGCGCCGCCCCTGCACAGGCGACGTCTTGGCGGATTTTAGTTCACCCCAGGAGCCTCAACGTGCCGCCCACACGCCGAAGTGCCCTCCTGGGGGCCCTCCTCCTCCTCCTCCTCCTCCTCCTCCTCCTCCTCCTCCTCCTCCTCCTCCTCCTCCTCCTCCTCCTCCTCCTACCGCGTCGGCTCCGGTTGGCGTGTTGCGCGGGGCCCGTCGCCGTGGGGGAACGCGGGTGCTGAGGGGAACGGGCTCCGAGGTCTTTCGCCGGTTTGGGCTTCCCGGGGTCCTCCACGAGCCCCGGGATGGTCGGAGAACGGCTCAGGATGAAGAGCTCGTCCAGCACCCGTTTCCGCCATGCCAGACCTTGCGCAGTCTCGGCCCGATCCGATCCGATCTCAGAGGAGCGACGTGGAAAAACTCGGCCACGCGCAGAGGGGGGCAGGGGGAGGGGGGAAGGCTTCTTAGCAGTACCCTGCTTCTTAGAGGGCGAGGGCCTTGTCTATGGATGTTGGGCCGGCGCCTTCTGAGAAGCAACCTCCTCGTAAAAAGCTTGCCCCCCTCCCCTTCTCCCCTTGTACGCGCCGCCAGAGAGCAGAGTCGTTTTCACCGACACTGGCGCGTGAGCTGCCCACGAAAGGTCGCGCGCAAGCGCCCTCGTTTCCGATGTAGCGTTCCGCGCGCGCGGCCTTCGTAGGCCACCGCTTGAGGTCGCTGTGTCGTCTCGCATCAGGCCCGATATTTTTCGTCGCTCCGATCTTCAACTGAGGTATTCCAGATGGGGCCTCGCCCCAGAGGGATCCGAGGGGCTGCCATCTCTTCCTCGGCGAGAGGCGGCGGAGGGCGACGGAAGTAAAAAGCAAGACTGCCTGCGCCTGCGGAAGCTGGCGGAAGGAAAAAAGATTCGAAAGCGAGAGGGTGCGCGGGGGCAAGATGTCAGGTTGTTTCTTCCAGCGTGTTCTTGTGCAGAGTCGTCAGCCTCGCGGGTCTCCGTTGGCTCTCCAATCGATGGATGATTCGATAGCGCCGCGAGTGCTGCACCAGAGCCTGACGCAGTATAGGGTCAGTGCGTCCCCCTTCAAAATGAAGCAATAGAGGCGCCCCCAAGAGATCGTAACATTTTTGGGCTCAGTGTTTCCAGAACCCGCCTGCTGTCTGCTTTTGGTTCAACCAGCGGTTGCTTCCTCAATTTCGGCTTTCGGGGGCCATTATTGGGCCCCGGGGCCATGAAAACCGGATCTGAGGCGAAAAACTACCTTCGGGGAAGCGGTCGGGACTTCTGGGGCCGCAGATTGAAAAACAGATCAGCGAGCGTCAGGGATTCCGGTGTTCTGGCGATCCGGCGAGGCCCGATGTTCGCACGAGCGTTGTTGTGCATCCTGCCGCGGCCTCCCATGCGGCCTCTGAATTTGTGGGGCGGTTCTTTATGTTTGTTCGGTCCCAGATTTCCGCCCCTCCCCTCCCTCACTCCATTGCCCCCCCCCCTCTCCCTCGGTTTCCCTTCTTCCCTCTGGTCTGGCGTGTGTTGCGTTGTGGAGTGCCTTGTTTCCCTTTAGTGCACAGGATGGTATCCGCAGCTTGACCTCCTCCTCCTCCTCCTCCTCCTCCTCCTCCCTCCTCCTCCTCCCTCCTCCCTCCTCCTCCCCCCTCCTCCTCCCTCCCCTCCTCCTCCCTCCCCTCCCCCTCCTCCCCCCTCCCCCCCTCCTCCCCCTCCTCCCCCTCCTCCTCCTCCTCCTCCTCCTCCCTCCTCTGGGTCGAGGTCCGAGGAGGTCTTGCCACAGTCTTCAGGCTCGGGAGGCCCCGCGTCGGGCCTCCGGGGCCATCAGCTCGGCACCGCTCGTGCCCTGCGCGGCATTCGGAGGAGCATCGCGCCCTCTCGGGCGCCCGCTCCGGGCCTCCGACGCCGTGGCCTCTGCGCGGCGTGGGCCCCCCGGGGGTCTGGGGTGCCGTCTCTCCGGGAGCAGCCTCTCCTCCCCGAGCCGCGCCCGTGGACGGCACCGCCTGGGCGTGGCGAGTGCCCCCCGGAGGCGGAGCGCTGCCCCAAACCGATTGGAGCCTGTGTTTTTTTGGATTCAGGCAAGTTTGCTTGCATGGCGTTCGCCCCTCCCCCCCCCTCGCCCCTCTTCAAGCGAATACTAGCGCTTCAGGCTCAGCCCCCCCCCCGTCCATGCAAGTAAACTTGCCAGAGTCTAAAAAAAACAGGCTCCTCAGAGCCCCCGGCGCGCAGAGTCCCCACGAGGCCGTCGGGCTCGGGCGCGGGGGGGGTCCCGGGCTGACCTCTGCGGGGCACCGGCTCTGCAGAGCCCCTGCCCGGTGGCTCCAGGAGGCTGGCGCGGAGTCGGGCGTGGTGGGGGTTTTCCCGGGCAGAGGTCTGCAGGGCGGCTGGCTCTGCAGAACTTCCGCGCCCAGAGGCTTCAGGATGCTTCCGGTGTCGGGCGTGCGACGTCGGCGGGGGGGGGGTGTCTCGTACGGGGTCGGATGGGAGCTCGGACGTGCAGGGTGGGGTGTCTCAAAGTGAAAACGTCCCAGGAAGTCGGGGCGTTGGCGGGGGGAGGGTAGAACGGGGGCCGGATCGGGGCGCGGAATTACAGGGTGGAGGGTCGCAAGGACAGGGAGCAGAGCGGAGCGGGTGTCGAGGCGGGGCCAGGGGTGTAGGGGGGGTGCAAGGGTGCCGGGGTCTACGGAAGATGAACAGGGTGCACGTGGGAGCGTAGTGCATGAATCGGGAGGATACCTCACACGCGTCTGGAGTCGGCGGACCATCATCACCACCATCATCGCCATCATCATCACCATCATCGCCATCATCATCATCATCATCATCATCATCATCATCATCATCATCATCATCATCATCATCATCATCATCATCATCATCATCATTATCATTTTCATTATCACTATCATTATCATTATCATTATCATTATCATTATCATTATCATTATCATTATCATTATCATTATCATCATCATCATCATCATCATCATCATCATCATCGTCATCGTCATCGTCATCGTCATCGTCATCATCATCTGCCATCGTTATCATCGTCATCCCCATCATCACCATCATCATCACCATCATCATCAGCATCATCATCAACATCATCATCAGCATCATCATCATCATCGACATCAACATCATCATCATCATCAGCAGCATCATCATCATCTACATCATCATCATCATCATCATCATCATCATCATCACAATCATCATCAGCAGCATCATCGTCATCGCCATCGTTATCTTTATCGTCATCATCGTCATCATCAGCATCCTCGTCATCACCATCAGCATCAACATCATGATCATCAGCAGCAGCATCGTCATCGTCATCATCACTATCCCCATCGTCGTCGTGCACGTCATAAGCAACAGCATGACCATAATCGTACATGATTAAAGCATCCTCATCGTCGCCGTTGTCGTCGTCAGCATTTCATGTTCATGCACATCGTCATCATCAGCAGCACCACCACCACCACCACCATCATCATCGTCATCGTCATCGTCATCGTCACCATCATCATCTGTCATCGTCATCGTCGTCATCCTCATCATCACCATCATCACCACCATCATCATCATCAGCATCATCATCAACATCATCATCATCTTCATCATCCTCATCATCATCACAATCATCACCAGCAGCATCATCATTGCCATCGCCATCGTTAGATTTATCGTCATCATCGTCATCATCAGCATCCTCGTCATCACCATCAGCATTATCTTTATCGTCATTAGCAACAGCATGACCATAATCGAATCAAATGATTATCATCGTCGCCGTTGTCGTCGTCAGCATTTCATGTTTATGCACATCGTCATCATCAGCAGCTTCACCACCACCATAATCATCATCAGCAGCACCACCACCACCACCATCATCATCATCATTATGATCATCATGATCATCATCATCATCATCATCATCATCATCATCATCATCATCATCATCATCATCATCATCATCGTCATGCAGCGCGCGTGGCGCGAGGCTGCGCTGGACCGCCCGCTGGACGATCTCGGGCGCGTGTATCGCCCCTGGGCGTCGCATTGGCGCGCGTCCGCGACCGCCTGAACCCTCAAGCAGATCGCGGAGCAGGCGCCGCTGAAGGTCTCGGCCGCGCTTAACCGCGCGCTTTGCGCCACCGTCGCCAAGTACAAGCTGCTGGCTCTCGAGCGCGCGCGCCCGGCTGACCCCGCCGCACGCCCAGAAGTTTACGCACGCCACGCTCAAGTCCCTCATCTTCCCCGCCAGCCTCGACGTCATGCTGCGAAAGCGCCTCTTGAAGCACTGGCCAGGCAGCGCCGGCACGCTCCGCGAGCTCGACCTCGCGCGGCTTTTCCTCGTCGCGCGCCGCTCGCACGTCCATGTCGCGGGCGCGTGCCTGAAGACGAGGATGGGCGGCTGGACGCCCAGCGTGCGTATGCACGAGGGCGTCTTCCATCGGTGCCTCTGCGGCTGCGACGCCCCCGACTCATGGGTGCACTACGCTGACTGCCACGCCCCCTGGTGCATCGTCTACTCCGTGTTCGGCAAGTTCCCGCCTGGCAGCCGCCTCGAGTGCATCGGCTTTCTCGCCGACGAGCCCAACGACCTCTTGCCGATCTTCGTTAGTCTCGAGGTGTACGACAGACTGGAATATTCCCATCTTCCTGAAGTTCTGCGGCTTCGCGCCGCCGCTGACTATGACGCACTGATCGCGCTCACTGACCGCCTCGCCTGCTCCGCCGCCCGGCTCGTCCGCTAGCCTCTTTGCGCTGCCCAGGAAACCGACCCGTTTCGTTTGAATTGGGTTGGTTGTTCCGGTCAGGCATTTGAGCAAGCGGAGCGGTGGTCGCCCCCACAGCCGCTACGAGTAATGTCATCATCATCATCATCATCATCAGCATCATCATCATCATCACCATTGACAACGTGAGTGTCGTCACTTGCCTAACCCTCATCATCACCATCCTCAGCATCATCATCATCGTCGTTTTCGTCATCATCACCTGCCTCATCAGCATCGTCATCATCATCGTCGTTGTCATCGTTTTCGTTGTCACCGTCATCCTCAGCATCGTCATCATCCTCATCCGCATTCCAGCCCTTCGCATCACCATCATCATCATCAGCAGCAGCAGCATCACCGTCGTCGTCATAATCCTCGTCGTCGTCATCATCAGCAGCAGTATCATCGTCATCGTCGTCATCATGATTTTCAGCATCAGCAGCAGCATCATCATCGTCACCCTCATCATCAGCAGCAGCATCATCATTGTCCTCGTCCTCGACGTCGTCACCATCATCATCAGCGGCGTCGTCATGTTCGTCATAGTCCTCATACTCGTCGTCATTGTCGCCATCATCAGCAGCATCATCATGGTCATCATCCTCATCGTCGTCATCATTATCACCATCGTACACATCGTGATCATCCTCATCCTCATCACGATTACCGTAACCAGCATTGCGCCGTCCTCGTCCTCGTCATCGTCAGCACCATCATCAGCATCATCATGGTACTCCTCCTCGTCGTTATCATCATCAACAGCATTATAGTTGTATGTATCCCCATCCTCGTCAGCATCGTCATCCCCATCATCAGTAGCAGCAACACCACAGTCATCATCTTCATCGTCGTCGCCGTCGTCATCAGCGTCATTGTCTTCGTCATCAGCGTCGCCATCCTCACCCTCATCGTTCATCTCATCATCACCACCATCAGCCGCATCATCTCCATCGTCGTCGTCATCATCGTGGTTGTTGTCGTCATCGTCATCACTGCCAGCAGCATCAACATCCTCGTCCTCACCCTCGTCACCGGCCATCAGCACATCATTATTAGAAGCGTCATCATCGGCATCGGCACCGTCGTCATCTTCATCATCATCATCTTCATCATCATCATCATCAGCAGCATAGCCATCTTCATCAGAATCAGCATCATCACCATCATCACCGCGACCCTCATCATCATCATCATCATCATCATCATCATCATCAGCATGACCATCATTACCATCGCCATGATCAGTTGCATCGCCATTGTCATTACTACCATGATCATCATCATCATCGTCATCATCATCATCATCATCATCGGCATCGTCGTCGTCATCAGTACCATTATCATCACCACCATCATCCTCACCATCGTTACCGTCATCGTCATCATCATAATCATCGTCGTCACCGTAATCATGATCGTGACCACCATCATCACCATCATCACCATCATCATCAGAATCAGCATCATCACCATCATCACCATCATCATCATCATCACCATCATCATCATCATCATCATCATCTTCTTCATGGTTCTCCTCAGAGTAAGCGCCCCCCAGGCCCTGCGACCTGAGCCCCGCCGGGCGCGCCTGCCCCACTAGGCCACGCGCTCGGCCAGCAGCTCGCGTTGGCCAGTTGGGCACCCTCCGGCTACCCTCCTCCTCCACGACATCGGGAGCATTGAGACGGGGGTCGATGCAAACGGGGCCAGCCAGAGCGCCGGACCCTGGAAGATCCTGCAGGGCCAGGGGTGCATTGACCCAGACTTGCGCGCAGGATCTTGCAGGATCCGACAGGATCTTGCAGGATCCGACAAAGCTTAACTGGCCTGGGTTTGTATTGAACCGGGTCAGGGCGTCCCCGACGGCATCCGCACGCTTCGCGACAGCCAGCGACCAAGGATGAGGAGGTGGAGGAGGAGGAGGAGGAGGAGGAGAGGGATTTGTTTGTCAACAGGGTCCCGAGATGAAACGCCCACAGTTAGGGCGCCAAGGGGGAGGCTGTCGCCGACCTCAGCGATGATATGCCCACAGTTAGACCAGGCTACACGTGTGGCATTCGCCAGGGAGCAACGTCTGATGAGCTAAGACTCAAACTTGTGGCATCCAAAACCCGGACAGCGAGGCAATCCAAAACGCGTGAAAATTTGTAGGAGACTCTTGCAACGACGCTTGAATGGATGCCTGGCCAGCTCTAAAGAGCTATCCATGGAGGGTGAAAGCCTCTGGGAGACGCTTGACAGGATGCCTGCAGAGCTTGCAAGTTTCAGGTAGGACCAGGAGCTTCGCACGAGCCGCCGAAGCGCTTCGAAGTAGCTTCGCAAAGGTTTCCAGCACGTGTACTGGAAACGAGTAGGAAAACGCTTCCCGAACACGCTGCGAACCCAAGCAAGGCGAGGCGGGGACGCCTGCCCAGGAGCCGTGCAGGGGAAGCTGGCCTACCTTGTGTTGCCGGCTTCTAGTCTGAAACCCTCTGAGCCCTCAGAGAGCTATTCAGGAACAGTACTACAGTAAGAAGACTAGGGGCTGATTGCAGGTGAGCACGCGTTGGCGTCGCATCCTCGATGACTTAGCCTGTGCATCGGCAATCGGCAGCCCATGGCGGCTAGGGAAAGCACCATCGGAAACACGGCTTAGCTTCTCCAAGCCCTTGCGAGTAGCCAGCTGGCACTGGCAGAGAAGATGGCGAAAGTCAATCGTAGCCGTACGGCCCCAGCTGCTGCAGAAAACAGAGAAAACGCCAAGATTGAAGCGAGTGTGGTGTGTGCAGAACCTTTCCCCCCCCACCCGTGTCAACCCCTCCACCGCCCGAGTTCGTTCACTATCGTCCTGGCACGGCCTCCGAAGGGAGGACTTTTCGATCGCTGCACAGCGACGCACAAGAGGAAGCGAGACCTATACGACCACCCTTCGGGTGATAAAAAGGTTGGAGGGAGGAATCAACGTCTCACCCGTTCGATCTCTCTGGTATGGATCTCACGATCGATCTCACTATCGATCTCGCTCGATCGATCTCACTATCGATCGCACTATCGGCCGCACTAACCATCCCATCGTTGATATCACAATCGATCTCACTATATTTCTTACGAGCGATCTCAGTATCGGTATCATTGTCGATCTCACTATCAATCTCACAATCGATCTCACTATCGACCCCGCTATCGATCCTACTATCGACCGCGCTATCGATCCCATTATCGATCTCACGATCGATCTCACCATCTCTCTTACTATCGAATTCACGGTCGATCTCAGTATCGATATCACTTCCGATGTCACTATGGATCTCACTATCGGTCACACTATCGATTTCACGATCGATCTCGTGATGGGACACCGACGGGGCACTGTCGGGACACCGACGGGACACCGACGGGACACGGACGGGACACCGACGGGACACCGATGGGGCACTGGAGGGACACCCCCGGGACACCCCAGGCCACCGCCAGACAACCTTGGATTGAGGGCAGTCTTTTGGCCCGGCGGCGCTCTAGCCAAAGGAGGCTTCATTCTTCTCGATTTCCCACGCAGCTTCGCCTCGTCCGCACGCACGACACGAACACGAAACCGAGACCGATTTCCAGGCGGGGGGCTCTTTGTATAGTGACAGCATGGAGACAAGCGTCACGGGCAGTTGGTAGTTACACTTCCTGGCCAAGGAGCTGGCCGTTGGTTCCTTACCGGTCGCCAAAGGATTCGAGGTGCATTGCACCGACTTCGACGCACAGGTGAGGTTGCCATGGAGGAGGTTATGGTTATTCACGTCACCAAGCGCCAGGTGATTGTAGAGGCCGAAATACATCAATCGGCGATGTTCCAGATATTACGCAGCAGACGTAACGGTACATGGAGGCACGCGAACGCGAGGAACCGCAACGCCAAGTTCGACGAGAAGATTTTGTGTTAGGCTCGCGGTCCTGGTCTCGATCACCCGCTGTGGCAGACAGATCAGACTTGGGCAGTCAGACGATGCTCGGGTAAGGACTGCTGCGAGCGTTATGACCTCAGTGGCGTTCGATGCGCCACGCCCAACCTCCGCCACCCAGATCACACATGTTTGGCAGCACTGTGGCGTCACGGCGCGATCGAGGACAAGACGATTATGCGCTTCACGATTGCAACCAACAGTGAGGACTTGTTGGCACACGCGGACAGGGACGATCTCGAGTATACGTCGTCAACGATGACGATTTCTTATTCCCGTGTCGCAGGCAGGCAAGGATCCATCGTCACATTCAAGTGAAGGAAGCGGACAAAGTTCACAATCGAGGGGTTTCAAGTTCAAGCCGCCTAGCAGGCCAACGGGAATGCAGCCATTCTTCCACTCCACCTGTTTACCTTCGCCTCTTGAGAAAATCGCACTGGTGTGGTGCATGAACAACGGGTGGAGGTCCAGTCATAACACAAGCCATGTTCTGAATACATCCAGTAACCCTCCAGTTCGGTAACTTCTCTCAATTGAATGTTTCTGTTTCAAGTATTTGTATGATCTGCTCGTGATAGCTTCGAGGGTTCGTGTCTGTGTAATACAGACCCCATGCCATTGAAAATTACGTGGTGCTTGGCTCAAGTATTTACGTTCGGCACTTTGAGCATATCTTATTGTGTTCTCGCTTGTTACTGAGAGAACAGAGGTTTATCCTCACCAATATCGCACAAGGAACCGTGCAGGAGCAGGAGGAAGCACAGAGGGAGGAGGAGGAGGAGGAGGAGGAGGAGGGAGGAGGAGGACGAGGAGGATGAGAAGGACCTGTGTGAACCCTAAGCGCGTCGACGATGTCCCTACAAGAACTTATCTGCGCTGCTAGAAACAAGCCCAGGGGAAGACAATTGGTTAAGAACCCTCCATCACGCCAAAACAAATTCTTGGGACTTTAACGCCGCGAATCATCGTGACTGTTGCGCCCTGATACTCTTAAGTCGCGCCAGAGCACCATTCCTGGGATTTCAACGCTACGAATAGACGTGAGTGCTCCGCCCCGCCAGTCCTAAATCGTGTCAAAAGCACCATTCCTGGGATATCAACCATCCGAACCTTTTTGAAACTTGTGCAAAGTTGTAAGGCGAATGCGCGCGGCGCTAAGGCGAAGGCCACGTTGAAAAGGAGAAGCCCCCCATCCTCGACATTGTTAACCATGTTTACGCCAAATGCGCTCGGCGCTGTGACTAGAACCACTATTTGAAAGCCAGCCGCACTCCATCCTTGAAACGGCTACAACGTGTTAAGACGAGTGTGCGTGGTGCTAAGGCGCGAGCAACAGTTTGAAAACCAGCCGCTTTCCATCCTTCAATATGCTGCAATCTTGAACGCCGAATGCGCGCGGCTCTTAGGCGAGAGCAACATTTTGTAAACGGCCCGCCTTCCATCCGTGAAGTTGTTGCCCATTTCCAGTTTCAGGAACATGAGTTGTGAGGAAGTTCCAGCGAAACGCCCGGCCCCCCCTACCTACACGTCTGGGGATGGGACAGGGAATATTTATTTACAAGGAAAAGGGATGGGCCACCTCCATCCGTGACATTGTTGCAAATTCCAAATTTCGGGATCATCAATGGCGCAACGCCAGGCCTGCCCTACCGACACGTGGGGGGGTGCGATTGGGAGAATATGTTTTTAAGGGAAAGAAATCGCCCTCCATCATGAAAGCGGCTGTAAACTTTTAAGAAGAATGTTCGGCGGTAAGGCGAGAGCCACATTTTGAAAACGACCCACCCTTCCTCCATGCCTGAATTTGCTACAATCGCTTAGCACGCATGTGCGCGGAGCTATCGCGAGAGCCACGTTTTGAAAAGGAACCGCCATCCATCTTTGAAATGGCTGCAAACCTTTACGACGCATGTGCGCAGCGTTCCGGCGAGAGCCACGTTTTGAAAACGACCCGCCATCAATCATTGAAATTGTTGCCAATGTTTAAGACGAGCATGCGCGGCGCTAAGGCGAGAGCAACAGTTTGAAAAGCAGCCGCCCTTCATCCTAAAAATTGCCGCCAACCTTTACGACGAATGCGCGCGGCGCTAAGGCGAGACCAAATGTTGAAAACAACCCACCCACCATGCATGAAGTTGCTGCAAATTTCAAGCCTCAAGTCAGTGGTGAGGACGTCTCAGGCGAAACGCCCGGTCCGCGAGCAAAGCCACCACCGCACCTCACGCAGCCAGTCGCGCCGCTCACCCCCCGAAGGGAGGACAGGACCAGCTACAGAGGCGGACGGACAACCCTCACCAACCACGCCTCTGGCCGCGGCTTCGGTTCCACCGGAGGCCGCCGACACCACCGCTTGGAAGTCATTGGGGGAGGAGGAGGAGGAGGAGGAGGAGGAGGAGGAGGAGGAGGAGGAGGAGGAGGAGGAGGAGGAGGAGGAGGGGAGGAGGAGGAGGAGGAGGAGGAGGAGGAGGAGGAGGAGGAGGAGGAGGAGAGGAGGAGGAGGAGGAGGAGGAGGGGGAGGAGGAGGAGGAGGAGGAGGAGGAGGAGGAGGAGGAGGAGGAGGAGGAGGAGGAGGAGGAGGAAGAGGAGGAGGAGGAGGAGGCGGAGGAGAGGAGGAGGAGGGGGAGGAGGAGGAGGAGGAGGAGGAGGAGGAGGAGGAGGAGGAGGAGGAGGAGGAGGAGGAGGAGGAGGAGGAGGGGGAGGAGGAGGAGGAGGAGGAGGAGGGGGAGGAGGGCCCA